ATGTAAACTAGGGATGTTAAATATCGGTTAACTGAATAGTCAATTAACCACATGAATTCTCTGATACAGAGGCAGCAATGCGGGGTGGTAGCAGCCCCTGTCCAGGAGGTGGTCTGTGCTCCCAGACCCAGCATGAGCCAGACTGCCTGACCACCACGCTCCTAATACACTTTAAATGCATAGCTACAATGGGGGTAGGTTTTCGACCTGGCACAAGCCAGGACTGAGCTATGCTGCTAGCCAGCCTGCTAAAAAATGTACTGGCCTGGGAGGGGAAGAGGAATGTAGTCTATAGCATCAACTGATAAGTTTTTGCTTATAAGTTAATTGATTATACTACTACCTGTTTATATTAGGGATGTAACTGGTTAATTGGTACCCAGGAGCAGCCCACCATAGGTAGAGGGCTGCTCTAGCCTCATGGGTGACAGGAGCCAGCCTGGCGGGGAGGGATAGGGAGGAGGGGGGCCAAACACAGAATGCAGCCACCATACTGGGTCAAACCAAAGGTCCACCTAGTCCAGTATCCTGTCTGCCAACAGTGGCCTATGCAGGGGGGCCAGCAGCTGCAACCCCACATGCAGAAGGGCTGGGAGCAAAAGTAGTCCCTCCACGCTTGGGGTGGCGAGAGCCAGTTGCCTTGCACTTGGCAGCCGTCAGCATCAGGTAGACAATAGCGTTTATATTGAGAAACATGACAGGCCACACGCTCTAAAGAACTCAATCAATAGACACCATCATCACATCAAATGTTCTCCCAATCAACTACTTAAAGATTTAGTAGTCTTGATTTATAGATTGTATACCATTCAAGCAGAGGTATGGTTTTGGGGGGGGATGGACGTAGGAAGGTTACTAAAATAGTTCTACTAGTGCAATTCCTAGTGTAGATTCAGTTGTATTGTGGCATAAGCACTTTTATACGCGGATAACTGCACCCACATTAAGAAGGTTGTCCCACTTTAACTATACCAGTATAGTTAACCAATAACATTTAGACAAGACCTTCATCCCCCATTTTAATACACAGCAAACCTATACTCATAGGTATCAACTTCATGGATGCTCTGGAGTGGGAGCATCCACTGGAGTGGGGGAGAAATAATGGATGCTCAACATCCACAGGCAGCCCCATAAATTTGTTCCTCCCACCCACTAACAGGCCCAAATGATCAGCTCCTGCTTCTCCCCCTTCAAGACTCATCACATTTTCCTTCTACTATGAAGGTGGGGGGAGAATTAGCTCTCAGATTCAAGCTGAAAGGACTCCAGAGAGATTGTATTTAAGCCACCCTTTCCACAGACTTTAATGGACTTGGTGATTTAAACCTGACTCTCTCATCCAGGTTGGATCTATGCCATGAGCGGGGAACTTTTTTGGGGTTAGGGAACACTGAACCACAGAAAAAGCAGCCGGGGCAAATACAAGTGAGCAGAGAAAACAAAACAAAAACCCTCAGTGACCTGTCCCAACGTGTGTTTTATTTTACTGTTTGTGAACGGCTCCCTCAGCCCACCATGAAGGAGAACCCAAGAAGGAAGATGGCTCTGCAAACTAAAGCTATCCCGACTCAAGCACCAAATCTGATTAAATAATTCAACCAGTCACTTGCTAAAGCACACTAAACCTTTTGTGTGCACCACCATGGCCTATATAAATATTAATTCCAACATTAAGGCACTTTAGAAATTATACTCATATAGAGCAAGTTACTCCACCATGTTCACAAGCCCTAACACTCTCTTCAACACCATATCTCTACCTCAGAGCTTTCAGTTCAGCACCAGCCAGGGCTAACATTACCTGCTGCAAAAATCAAGATACCCAGGATTCAGCCATTTCTAATTAAAACAAAAAAAAAATGAAGTGAGGCA